ATCGACAATGTTGATAAGCGGTAGTTTAGATTCAGTATTCATTAGCCTCCGTTCGAATATCCCTAGCGCCGTACTAAATTAATCACTCCCGTTTCCTACGGGAGCCACGTCCTGTTGTTTACCTTTACGGGAAAATGTATCGACAGACATTCATCTCTACGGCTCTGTACGGTTGGAATGGTCTATGATATATTGTTTTGCCCCTATATTGGTAAGACCTTGTTGATACATTGTTTGTCACAGTGGCAACATTCAATGAACGGTCGTTCAATTATTAATGATGTATAAAGTTTTAAATTAATAGAGCAAATAAAGGTTAAGGTTAAATTAAGGTTATGTCATTTTCAAGTGGCTCTGCTGGCGGCATTGACGGTATAACGCCACAACATCTGAAAGATCTTGTAAGCGTCTCCGCCGGTGTTGCTGGCAGAGCACTTCTCAATGATATTACAAAATTATGCAACTTAATGCTTTCCGGAAAAGTAAATTCTAAATTTGTTCCTTTCTTATACGGGGCAAGATTATGTGCCTTTAAAAAAAAGATAATGGTATCCGTCCTATTGCTATTGGTTCTACCTTTCGACGCTTAACTTCAAAATTAGAATGTAGGCACATAATCTCCGGCCTTAAAACAAAATTCCAGCCTGTTCAACTAGGCTTTGGAAGCAAAGGCGGCTGTGAAGCGGCTGTACATTCCGTTCGAACTTCTTTAAATACTAGTGATTTGGATGTATTTCTGAAGGTTGACCTAGGGAATGCTTTTAACGCCATTGATAGAACGACTCTGCTGAACGAAGTGGCTAACCATACACCAGTAATATATCATTATGTTTGGCAATGTTACAGTGAAAAGAGTAATTTATTTTATGAAGACCATATTATTGACTCTGCTGTCGGCGTTCAGCAGGGAGATCCGCTAGGACCAGCATTATTTAGTTGGGAATCATCCAATTATTTCAAAATTGAAATCTAAACTTAATGTCTGGTACCTAGACGATGGTACGCTGGGAAGTAAAGTTGACAATGTACAAAGTGATCTTATCGAAATTATTAGACAATTTAAAAATATCGGTCTCGATTTAAATAATTTCAAATGCGAACTTTTCTTTTCCGAAAACATTTCTTTTTCCGACAAAATCATTTTGACCCAAAATTTTAGCTCTATCATACCGGGAATTAACGTAGTCCGTTCAGATTCACTTTACCTGTTAGGTGCTCCTTTGTTGATACCAAGTTTGGAACCTCATTTAAAATTAAAGTTAAATCAATTTTTAGATCATCTTAATAAAATGTTTTTACTAAATTCGCATATTGCGCTTACTATTTTACGACATTGTATTCTTGTAACTAAATTTACGTACCTCCTTCGCTCGAGTCCAGTTTGGAAATGCGGTGACTTTTTGAACGAAATTGATTTCCATCTTTAAATCAGCTCTAGAAAAAATTCTAAATTTATCTCTTAATGAAATAAGCTGGACTCAAGCTACGCTGCCAATTCGTTTTGGTGGCATCGGTGTAAGGAATATTTTTAGTGCCGCTCTACCTACCTCCTTGCTTCCGTGCATAGCGTAAATAATTTATGTTATAACATCCTTAATCACGATTCAGAACTTTCCTATGCAGAGGAGGCAAGGATGTCTTGGCTGTCTATCTGCCCCAACGAAAATATCCTACAAAAACAGTGGGATTTTCCTTTGGTGCGGAGAGTACAGAGAGATACGTTACAATCTTTAGAAAGTAATTTAGAGCGTGCCCGTTTCCTAGGCGTCTCATCTAAAGAATCGAGTTATTGGCTTCACGCTTTACCATCAAGTAACTTGGGCACATTACTTGAAGATGAAAGCTTACGCATTGCTGTAGGAATCCGTCTGGGGGCAGCGATTTGTTAACCACACCAATGTCCTTGTGGTGTCAGTGTAGACAAATTTGGTCTCCACGGGCTTTCTTGTCAAAAAAGTGCTGGCCGTTTTTTGCCTGAACGACATCATCCGTAGGGCTCTTGTTTCCATTAACGTTCCATCTATTTTAGAGCCCTGTGGCATTTTTTGCGACGATGGTAAGAGACTCGACGGTTTAACATTGATCCCTTGGGAGAGAAGCAAAGCCCTTGTTTGGGACGCCACTTGTGTAGACACTTTGGCTGCCTCTCATCTAAGGGGTACTTCGGTCAGGGCCGGAGCGGCATCGGAGGCAGATATGAGTCTTTATGTTTAGATTATATATTTGTGCCATTTGCTGTTGAAACATTAGGTCCGTGCGGTCCCCGCACATCAAAATTTTTTGTCCTAGGCTTAACGACGCGGCTGGTGACAAGAGAGCTGGTTCTTTTCTCGCTCAAAGGTTAAGCATAACTATTCAGCGAGGAAATGTAGCTAGCGTTCTTGGCACCATGCCGCGTGGATTAGATTTATTAGATAATATGTAATTTTAGATAGATTTAATCTTGTAAATATTAGAAGGTTAATTGTTTTTAAGATCAGTGCAACCAGCATTCAAAGTCAAAGCAGCGTCTATATTATTTATTATTATTAGTACCCGGAGGACCGAGCTTTGCTCGGTTTGTTTTTTTTGGTAAATCGTGTGTTTTGGAACTTACATTTAGATACAAATTACTAAGGAATGAAATATGCATAATATTTTTCGATCTTACCGACGAATAATAAGAAAATATGAACTGATGTTTTTCACAAAAGAAAGAAATTTAAAAAAAAGGGAAAAAAATAACAAAATAACAAATCGACAAAAAATTAAAAATAAAGAAAGCAATGATCTGGAATCGAAAAAAAGTAAAAAAATAAGTGTGTCATGATCATGACACGAACCACGGCCGTCTGTTTTGGGGCCGCCCGATTACCGACCGAGCTAGTATAACATTTTTTTTTGCGGCGAAATTTACCGTCATATTCGAATGATATTTTTCAAACCCTGAAAACAGGGATAAAAGGACATTTTCTAAAAATGAAACCTAGCTAGATCGATTTTTTCGCCCCCGAATCTACGCACATACTAAATTTCATGAAAATCGCTGGAGCCGTTTCCGAGATTCCGATTATATATATATATATATATATACAAGAATTGCTCGTTTAAAGGATAAGATATGGGGGGATATTCATTTGTTTTCTCGTCTGGTTGGGTTTATAAATAAAAAATAAACATATAGATATATATTGCATATATAAAATAAATTATACAAAATAGATTCGTGAAAGTGTAGTATGTTGTAGATGACTTAATAATATATAAAAGTTTTGCACACTATTTAATTTAGAGCAATACACAAACTTATCTGCGCTCATAACCTTGGATCACTTCATCTGTTCATTGGACGTTTGGGGCAATTTACTGGCGTAAAAGGGTTTATATTAGCTTCACGAGGTCATGTAGAATCGTTGTTGTGGTGATTTCTAAATGACTTTTCGAACTGAGCAGCCGTGAGATGTCGATTTTTAGCATAGGGCTCAAGATAAATCTGTCTTCTCGTATAGCGACCCAGTGTTAAATTGAATTTGTTTTTCATCAATGTATGAACATGGAAATCTATCACCAGTTTCCAAATATAGACCAAACATAAACTCCCGCAGTTTGAGTTTAGGAAAAAATTAAATTATTTGTTATATTTGATATATTTAAAAGTGTGTCCTTTGACCTATTAATTATATTATAAACTTATAGAGAAACATCTAAAGGGACTATTACCCTTTAGTAAACGAGCACTCAATTTTCGTACATTAATTGAATGGGAAAGATGTGCCTGAAACTCCTATAAGCAGTGGAAATTAATGTATTATTTCGGTCAATAATAAACTAAAGTTATTTGTATCACGTTCGAAGCTATACAAATAACTTTTGTGTGAACAACAAATTGGTGGGGTTCTTTTAATTTTTAATTTGTCCTAATGTTGTTTCACATATGAATATATTATTAGAGTTGAGTGAAATTTATAGATTTTGTCTAACAGAATGGTAACGAATACGTCAGGTAGTTACCGTATTTGTTGCCCTATACTTCATCTCCTATACAAAGGTTTTCTGGCTGAATCACGTAAAGCTCACTTCAAACAAAGATAGTGTCAACAGACTTTATCAACTTCGATGTGTGCTGTTCATGCCGGTGTGTGTGAGGTCAAATACCCGGATTTGCACTTGAAGACATTACGTTTTACGCATGCCGTTTAGCCACGGATCATTTGATCATTATATAATTGTACAGAACACAATTAAAAACTTCAAAAGCACCGACATGGAAGTATTATTTTAATTAATGTCAATTTTGTATGAAACAGTAGAAAAAAAAATGAAAGGTTGTTAAGCAAAAGAATATCAGGATTTTACGGCATTTAATTTTGTCTGTTTCCGATGTTTCGAACATTTCTCAACATGCGTTTTTTTATGTGAAAAAGCGGCAAACAAGCTGGCGGTTCACATTATGTTAAGTGATAACCGCCGCCCATGAACATTTGCAACACCCGTAGGGTTGCAAATGCATTGCCACCTATAAATAAAGTAATGCTCATGGACAATTATAATAATTCTGGGTAAATCGAACTAAAATATATAGTGAACCAAGTTTACGGTATAGAAAATGTTGGTCTTCTAGTGTATTTCCATATGTTAATACAATGAAATTCCGATAATATAATTTAAATTTTTCACAAGTTGAAAAGCTGACGTGCAATGTAAAAGGAGTTAAGTTTCATTGAATTGTAAACTTTTTGTAGAAGAGCTTTGAAAAAACACAGTAAAATATAAAAACATTTACAAATCTCGCTTCGAAAAACTCGTTGAATTATTATGGATGTAGTAACCTTTCTGACATTAGGTACATCTCAGCGATACGCATTCGTTCTTCCCCGATAACTTACAAATACGTAGACGTAACTTGCAGTATAAAAAAGATAATGGAGGAAATGCTCGCGGGGGGCGGAATGAAATAACAACGGTGGTGTCATACCGCTCTGCTGGATATGGCTTTACAGCGGGGAGTTTGCGAGGCTTACCCTCGGTGATGAATGGGTACACGCTTCGAAGTTCCGCCTCGTACTCGTCTAGGGAGACGGCGGGGGCTATCGGCGGCCCGCAATCTTCTTCGGGCGACCGCTCCGAACCATAACCCTGGTCGAATTGCGCTTCTTGCAGCTTCCACACGGGCTCAGCGTCTGATCCTGCAGGAAAATATGATTGGTAAGAACGAGGCTGGTGAGAAGGAACTTTTTATTTTTATTTTCGACATCCATACTTAACAAATAGTAGGAAGAGTCGAATATGAAAAAAATCTTTTTGAATTTTAAAGGCATATTCTTGAGGACGGTTATAGGGTGTAACATTACGATTCGACAATCTACCGTGAAATCGCACGGAGCAGCTAGTATGAATACATGAATACATATGTTTACTGGTAGGTACAGATAATACTTTAATAATAACGTTGACTCAATAAAGGTCTTAAAAGTTATTCTTTTTAGCTAATTCTGTATCTGATTTTCACGATCTCCCTCAAATATCCGGAGTCCAAGGTCTCATACCAATGAAATTAACATGGGACCACACGAGATGTTAGATCAGAACCAAATGCAAAAATAATTTATTAGATATTTATACAAAAAAAAAGATTTAAATAGAATCGACCCATAAATGACGGAAACAACAATGCAACTGTTAGAAAAATTTTATTAAGCTATCGTTCATTCTATAATTACATCCAGGTTGAAGAGTTAGTCATATATACCATATAGGTATCTCAGAGATAAAGGCATGCCTCTTCACTGCTAAAGGTAAGGTAGACGAGCGATGAGCAATTATAAATGCCATCACAATTTCATCGCTGCCAGCATCGGGATTTCAATTGAGTGTCCTCGAGTATTAACCGGTTAAAGGCAATCGCACTCATCCTCAGCGGCTCTATTTCAGAGTGCTCATTGATGTTTTATTTACAACTAGCGACCCGCCCCGACTTTGCACGGGTGCAATGCATTATACATATAATCCTTCCTCTTGAATCACTCTATCTAGTAAAAAAAACCGCATCAAGATCCGTTGCGTAGTTTTAAAGATTTAAGCATATATAAGGACAACTTTGTTTTATAATATGTAGTGACTTTACTCACTGTTTTATATTATTGAAATCAAGTACCTTTGGGAGACTCTAAATTTAAAAATAGCCAAATTATATGTTTAGTGTCATGATAAAACATTTTCATCGTTGAAGAGATTTTCGGCTAACAATTTGAACTGGAATTCTCATGTGCAATTTTATTGTGAATGAGGATCAAATTCAATTAGAACTTCGATACGCAGCGCAGAGCGCAGTAGCATCGTTGATTGTGACAGTCCAAAAAGTCTCCTGCACGAGTTATGAAAACTAACGCGTATAACAGGCGTGCTCACTATTTGTTTAACTTCACAATTTCAAAATACTATAATATTCAATCAAAACTATAACATTGCAATATTCATCATCATCATCATCACGAAATTGAAATGAAATTGTACAATTTTGCAATACTCTTTCTACATTTTATTACATTTATGAGAATGAGCGTTACTCGTGTTTTCAACTATATCCGATTGAGATGAAGTTTTAGCTTACGCTAGTCCATATGCCATGATAACATCCGGTCTCGCAAAGTTAATTAGGTTAAAATATTGGAAAAACCTTCAAAGGGATCCAGTATCGCAAAGCAAGCATTATCAGCTCGTTTGCCACTTTCTCACATAAAAAAACAACTTGTTGGTCAATTTTGGTTTTCGGTAGTTGGTGTGCTCTTATATTATGTTTTCTAATATTTACGGATTCTGCGTTACAGCTACTGCTGTTGTATCGGCCAGTTTGTCTGGAAATACCACGGCCTTACAGAAGACCAGTTTAGAACAAACTACTTTTCGCACTTCGGAGTTACAACTGTGGTAGGGACAGTCTTCACTGTTGCACGAATGGAGCAGGTCCGATCGGGAAAGTATCCAACCTCTCAGAAGACCGGCGTAAAGTGGAAGTAATGCTTCTGCATTTCTTCTGGTGAGTGAGTTAACCGGAGCCCACATTTTTTTCTTATGTGAGAAAGTGGCAAACGAGCTGGCGGTTCACCTGATGTTAAGTGATAACCGCCTGCCCATGGACATTTGCAACACCCGTAGAGTTGCAGATGCATTGCCACCTCTTAATAATGTGGGTCCCAACTACCTCACTCACCAGACGAAACGCAGAAGTGTAACACTTCTACTTTAAGCCGGTCGTCTGTGAGGTCATGGTAGTAACCCGGACGGACCTGCCCATGCGTGCAACAGCGAACACTGTTGCGTGGCTGGCGGTTCACCTGATGTTAAGTGATAACCGCCTGCCCATGGACATTTGCAACACCGGTAGAATTGCAGATGCGTTACCACCTCTTAATAATGTGGGCCCCGGCTACGGATGGATAAGGATCGAATAAGGGGTACTGTACATATGATGTCGTGTTATAAATTAAACCAACTCAACTATTTTAAACGTAAAGGGATTGATATTGATAACGGTAGGAACCACTGATATACAAATCCACGATTTTTTTCGAACTAAGTTCCTCCTCGCTCGATACGGACTTGCTTGGCGAAAGAAAACACTTTCTATAGTACAGAATGTGCCCAGTTATAGGTGCGCGAAAGGCAATTGGTTCCACCGAATATTCCACAACACTCAATCATTTCTTATTTTACCGGACTCGTTTATATTATGTTTTAATCAATAAAATAATTAAATGACGTACCCTACACGAGACCATCACCATTCTTTCAGAAGTTCTATATAATATGATGTCATAAAAGCAGGAATTCTGGTTTTGCAAAAAAATTGTCATAACTGATTTAAAAAAACAATAATGATGTTTAATATCGAACCAGAATGTGACGGAGACGTTTGAATAATACGTGTCAGTATTGGAAGAACTCATTCGGCGTAAAAACTGTAACAAACAAAGGCCTTTGTGAAGATCAAAAGAAAATAAAACCTCATTATATACGCATTTCACTTTTTTTTCTCTCGTATTGTGGCCATTATTTTGGCATCACCCTTTCGCGTTACTTCGCTTCGCAAATGGAGCGAAAATGGCATCTCCTATTTTTCAAACCGTACGTACGTACGGCCCGCGTTTATATTAATGAATTTACTGTGGAGATTTTTCAAAGTAAGCTCGAACGCCTCGGATAACTAGTAGGCTAGGATTTAAAGCGTCCGTTGTCAAAAAAGGTGAGTTTTCGCATTGAATTATTATCTTTCGTGTACTTATTTACTTATCATTTATCGGAATAAAATGTAAGTATGTTAATGGGTACGTGAGCTATAATATTGTTAGTTAGATTAACTAATATTATTATTAATAATTAATTAAATTCCCGTTATATTGAGAAGAACCGAAACGTATTCTCAAGATAAATAAAAGCTGATATCATATTATAACGATTAAGATATATGTATATCGAACATAGTCCAACAGTTATTTTGTTATATCACACGACAGTAAAAATAACAATAAAACTAAGAAAATCTAAACATGAACTGAGAACACATTTCTGATAATCGATCTTAATTCTTCAATTGGTGACTTTTAGTACTTTAATGTCGTCGCTTAAGTGGTTAATAGCATTAATAACTTATAATTTGTCGTGAATGGAAGTTTTTGACTTTAGCTACTGATTGGTATTTTGAAACAGTACGCGAAACTGCACAATGCCGTGATGGGAAACAATGAGTTCCGAAGCATTAGGAGCAATTCCGAATTCCACTTCGATCCGTCTGTAGTTTGCGTATATATACAGGTTGACTTTTTAGACGAAGTACATACTTTGAGATAATGTTAATTGAGCATTTCATAATTAAAAAAAATATAAATATTTTATTTCGACAAGAAATAACCAGCAAAAATCAATTCAAACATTGTTTGTTTATCCACATGGTGGACTATGCCCTGATACCCTTTGTATAGAGGAAGCCTTTGCCCAGCAGTGGGACATGTATAGGCTTTTACTTTACTTTTTACTTTTGTTTATCCCGTTAAGAGTGGTCACCCTACAGATAGCAACAAATCTAACAGCGAACGGCAACGGCGCAGTGAGATTAGCGGCTAGGTTTATTGTTTTGAGACGGTAATGCAGGAATTTCTAATACAGTGTCCATAATGTTTGAAAAAAAAAAAATGAGGTTACAAGTGCATACCAGATTTAGAATCAAACAGAGCATATCTCTGTTAATATGTCCGTCGTCTATAAAATCATCCTGTATACAGCGTGTCGTTACCATCGCAACAATAAATGAACACACGTCTTACGCTACTTGCCAATAATCATAAAAAAATATTAACGTTAAACAAAATCCATAATTAAAGAAAAATATTTTTCAAACAAACTAATTAAGTAAAAAAGAAACAAAATTTGTAACACCTGTACAAGTCGCGTCACAGCGTCGCATTACAAGCCTCTCCTTCTAACAGTATGTTTTGTCTCTTTTAAATTCATTCAACCCATTCATATGCTTTGTGACCTTTACAATTGAACTTTACGTTACGCTTTTATAGGTAAGGGTGTTCTAAAATTCTTTGTTTTGGAAAATTTAATAACTCTGTAAATATTGATGTTTGAAGAATTTTAATGTTTAATACAACTTTAAAAAGTTATCCCCTATATGTGTGTTCATTTATTGTCGCGATGGTAACGACACGCTGTATATAAATATATACAAGCGCCGAAGGGGAGCCGCTTAGGGCATAGTCGCGTGCCACGGACCAGTTAGGCGTTGCCCGGGATATGGCGTTGCTAACATTGATTTATGGCTCCGCCTTCGCCATCGTACGTATCGTGTAGACGACTCGGGCGTGTTCGTGAATTCCAAGAAGTTTACGATTTTTATGCTAATACCACACGTCGATTCGCCTCGACGGCAAATGAGTTTCATTGCGGATAGAATTCGCCAAATATTGTTGCATTATTTTCAGCCGTCTTCAAAGAACGGAGACGCTAAATTTGGTCGTTTTTTATCTAAGAACTCGTTTATGAACCGACTTTCAAAATTCCTATTGTATTGGGTTTGGTAAAGCTCACATGATTACCCAAATTGGTATTGGACTCGGGTTTTATTACTCGTCAGGGAACTCAAATAGAAAATGTATAGCTAGTGAGATATTTGAAGTCGGCTTTG